CTGTTAACTTCAACAGCACAACTATCACATCAAACACAGGTAACTCTAATTGTTCGCGTTCTTCCCATAACTCGAATAGCGCGTCTAATAAGGGACAGAGAAAACGAATCATCTAGAAGGCAATTTGCAGAGAAGACACAGATACAACTTATAATAGATCAATTCCAAAGAAAATTTACCTCATCTTGTAACTCTCCAAAAGGGGCACCCAACACATTCAAAGAGGTATTCAAATTAGGCCTCGACTCCCTACGAAAACATGTCTATTGGAAAATAGGAGAAGAACCAAATTAGAGGTATTACTTGGCAGTTAATTGTTAATTTTTAAAAAAGAAACTATAACATACCTCCACCCAAGCACATTCAAGATATGTTCATTCTGAGTGAGAAGTGTCGAGCAAGTAAGTGTATTGATGAGAACGAAGCTCTTCTCGCTTAACGAGAAGACGGAAGAATGTGGTTTGTTGGTAGTGTTTCCGAGATCTCGAAGAACTCTGAAAAGGTACGATGAGGAGTGGTGCGAGGCAGTTGTAAAGAGAATAACAAGGAAAAAATTTCTGAATCACACTGCACAAGTTCCGTACGTTTACCTCTATAATGAGTTTGAGAAACATTCAAAATTACCTTTTACTTCATGATTTGTTTATTTCGAGGAGAAGTAAGAAAGCTTTCGATGTAATTACGTTGAATGAATTACGGCAACCAGGCATGGGAGATATTTGATCAAAACTAGATTCCAAAAGACTGATACTACTAGCAAATGAATGAGGCTGATCATGATTAGCCTGGAATCGTTGCAGTTCGGAACGTCTCAAAAAGTTAAGAACTTTACGATCATGTGTCAAATTACTTAAATAGTAAATTTTCAAAAAATTTACTGGATTTGTACATAAATATCTAAACTTTACACTGATGTACTGCGGCAAATTAAAGAAGAAAATGGCTACTCATTAAAGTTGGGAAAGAAACCTTTTCGTCTGCGGCAATGGCAAGTAGCCGGTGTTGTTCTCGTCATAATGCGAGGATTCGATCTGAATATCAAAAAAAGTACTGTAAACTCACTAAGATAAAGGACAATATAGATAGAGTATGATATTAGGATCTAAGAGACTCACCTTGTACACCAGCAACTCATGATCACCATCAGGAACTAGCACAGATTTACACATTAGGCGAATGTGTGCCAGTGCAAATGGTCCCTTTTCTGGTTTTCCTTTATCATAAGGCTTCCTTGAATGGAATGTAACACGCAGGTGCAAATCACGGCTGATATCTTCAGGAAGGCGTATCTTAAAGCAAACGTTCCATACATCCACTACTATAGATCATTTTGTTCAGCATACCTTGATATTTTCAAACCACATGGGCTTATCTTCATGTATATAGACAAAGCTGCGATAGTCGGATGAGAGTTTCATTGATCCTGCGCTGACTGTTTCAAACGACTGGAAAATGAAACTGAAGAAAAAGCTAGAGAGGAAGAGTGGGAAAAGTTTAATACACATTTAGAAGAACTTACATCAGGCACTACCCTTCCATTCCCTTCGACTAGATGTAATCGAGCCTCGATATTCCTATCAGACGACTTTCCAGATAATTCTCCCTGCACCAATGTCACATAAAGCTCGTTTCGTACATCAACTTAAAATTTTCTTTGATCTTCAACCTTATAAGAAAACAGAAGATCGCCAAAGACCTGTGGCAGGGCCAGCATAATCGCAGCGAGAAATAATTGCTGGTGGATTTCTAGTAAATAGGTACGGTCTTTTCAGACGTAGTTCTGCTAATCCATTGGTGAATGTCTGCGTCGATATGAGCATTTTGATGTCATCTTAAAAGTTATGAAGCAGTAGATAGAGATAACTTGGTACACTCTAGTAAAATGACCTGATGACGTATTTAGCTTTGGCACTTTACCAGTAGA